GAAGTTTTCGTCAAGGGTGACAAGTCATATTGTTGTGAATCAACACCGGTGACTTTACAGCCAGCTTCCAAACTGTCCTCAGCTTTTACATAAGTATACAACGTGGTACAAATATATAACCAAAATATTAACGCTCTAAAAAAATTTCGAACTGATAGGAAACGGAATGACCCATGTATCATTTCTTTTTTTTTATATAAAAGAGGAAACGCTTAATCAATTGTGCTTCCAATGCTAAAAAAAGTTAATTGGAAGCTTCCAATCCAATTAATTTATTAAGAATATGCTTCCAATTCTTCCAATGGTGCTCCCAATGAGTACTTCCAATGAGTACTTCCAATGTTTCAACTCTCACAACTGCGAAAGAAAACGAAGATGTTGATCTAAAGTTCGGAGCCGGTTTTATTTTATATAGGGACGCCCACAGCAAAAGCAGGGACGGGGCCTGCTTTTGCTGTGGGCGTTCCCATATGCTAAAACCGGTTTTAATCGGATTTAGCATAAAACCGGTTCTAAACCAGGATGATGAGTTTCTGCGGCAATAAGTAGCCAATTCAGTGACAAATTCAAATGCTGCAAAATTTCCGTGCGGCATTTTTTTATTTATTACAGAAATGCGCGTCATTTATATTAAAAATATATTTATTAAAAGAAAATATAATCAAATTTGAACTTTGATATTAAAGTATAACATATTTAAAAGCTTCGCCCTACATTGCACGAAGAAACAGTTTGTAGTATAATGATAATCACTTGACTGGTAATTCATCCACAAAAAATTTTCTGGAACGTGATTTTTAGCCAATTAGATCGAAGGATCAGGTGTAACATCGAATTAAGCGAAAGATTTTAAAGTAATAAGCTTCATATTTAGGGTTAGGAATTAGGCCGAAGGAGAACATAGCCTATACCAAATTTTCACAAGGAGTTTTTTTTGTTAGAACGCAGCAAGATAAAAATTTGTTTTTATTGGCTGATCATCAATGATCCTGATTGGCTAAAATTAAAGAATGATTTTCGATACTACCGCTATCGTTACACTTATAACTCTATATAGTATTTGATAATCTTTTATAATCTTTCATGATAGTAACTTGCTCACGTGAAATTCAAAACTTT